ACTGCCAAATTTCATGAAGATATACACACTATATTGAGAGTTATAAGTATTAAATCTATACAGACTTTAAAACGAGTACAAAAAGGTCACATGGTCAGTCAAATTGACTGCGCCCGTATTGAGAGAGTTAAAACCTTTTTCAAAATTTAAGTACATCAATGCTAAGCCCTTTTCATCATCCAGATAAAAAGTAACATCCTCAATAAAAATAATTTAGTAAGGCAAGTCTTCCTTCTGGTGAATTTATGTTAGCTTTCACATATGATATTTTGTTTTTACCTCAAAGCCACACAGTAGGCTGTTTGAGTACTGTCCACCACAGAGCATTGAACCCTGAATATCATTTATTTTATCATATTTACTAAATAATTTTATAATGCTTCTTTTATAATACCCTGTCGAAATTTTCCAACTACATAAATAACACGAACTAACCTATAATTTTCAAGTGAACTCTTATAACCCCTTTCAAAACCCTTAGCTACATGCCTGCCTCTCATTCTTCTACTTCTAACATTTTGCATTTCTTCAATGTGAATGGATATTTAAATAAAGGCATCCCTATTATCTCTTAAGGGACTCTTGAACCTTCTCTGGCTCTTCAAGCATTAGAGTTGAAAGAACACAAGATTACATGTGCCATACTTACAGCAATAGACATAATCTCAACTTTGGGAACTGTGACTTTCCTATTTAAAGTCATTCTACATATGCTCTGTTCAGTGACATTTAGTGTCCCAGCCAGTTGAGCTATCGTCTATTTTCCAAGCATATACCACGCTCCATACAAAGTGTTGCTTTCCTCTAAATTTAATTGTTTTGGGGGTTGACCTTTGTGGGTTCTCCTTCCCCACCGATAGATTTTCATCTCTTCATATATGGTTTGGGTGTGGTTTTAGGAGATCAACACATTTCCAGCACTTGCACACTTTTTTGAGGATATATCTCGTATCAATCTTCTCAAACTTTGGTCTCTCCATCAAACATCTTGTCAAACTTTACAATTCCACTGTAGTCTTATATCAACTATAAGGGGTCACAATTTGTGTTAAGGGATTGTCTCTCATTACTGTGACTTCACTCGCACAATGTTCACCTTCATGTTTGTCATATGTCAGGTATGATGAACATTCTAGCAGATTCCCTCTTAACGGCTTGTTGAGTTATTTCTACCAAAATATGCTCTTTATCTGTCCATTTTCCATTGAGTGTGTTTTTGCCTCAGTCATCCTATGATTAATGCTCTTGCCATTTCAAGCAGTTGTCTTCAGAACATTCTGGATGTTTTGATTCTAAGTTGGAAACATCTCTTCCTTTATACCTAACCTCCTCTGAACCTTCTTCCACTGGTACTCACCAGTTTTTTTGCACCTTGCTGAGATCTTCTTATAGCTCCATTTTGGCCAGCACAATAATGGTTTCATATTTTATGCCTTCCCTCTCTGGAAGATCCTCTTCTCCTTTGGTCCAGCTTTTTACATCGAACCTCCATGTACTATCAGGTTTGACATCTACATCTTCACAGTTGGCTGTTATCCAGTCTTCTGCCAAACATACAAGATTCTCATCTAACATTGCTCATAGTTTAGCAAAGTCTTGCCACTATTCTTCCTTTTCCAGTGTACCAACCCCATTAGGCTATTTTTTGGGGGTTGTGTCTTCTCTGTTTCCTATTTTTCTCCCACACCTCAACAGGTGGCTTCCTTTCACATTTATCTCTTTCATGAAAAAGGCCTAACTTAGTTTTGTTTGCTTGTCCTTTCTGTATGGATGAAGAAGGCTATTATACCCAGTCTTATTTTACTAAAATATAGAATGGTCTAATATCCACCAAGAATCTTCCACATTAAAGAGTACTTTGATATCTCGCATAGCTGTATGTCTTTCTTGTTAATGCCATCCCTGGTTAACATCCCACACAAAATTGTGGTGGACCAGATATAATAATTCCCCCAGGTCTAGTGTAACAGATACTAGCTTTCTGTGCAATTATGTATCTTTCTGGGAAGAGTACATCTTCTGAGTGTCCTTAAACAACAACAAATCAGTCATTGTTAATTATCATGTAGTGTTAATAAGTGCCAGGTACTCTCCAATAGCTGTCTGATCATATTGAATTTTTATGTTTTAAGAATTAAGATGAATTTCAAACAGGTACTTACCTCTGAAACACAACTTGCCTATTCCTGTTGAGTAGAACTCTCTTACTCAACATCACATGATCTATGAATGTCCTTGATGCAATGCAGTAGTTGCACCTTCCACATGACTCATGGACTATTTGCACTCTACCTTCAGGCTAAAGTCAGATTTCGTTTTCAGTCATGATGTGAAATTTCAAATCTCACAGTCATGGATAGGAATATGTTTTAGAGGTATGTACTGATTTGAAATTAATTCTAAATCTAAAAATGTAAAATTCGAAACAGGCAGACTTACTTCTAAAACACAGTTCATCTAATTATGCAGACTGAAAAGGAGGAGGGAAGCAGAGAATGTGACAGGCTATGAACTGTGAAGCATTTCACCAGTACCAATTGATGGCTATTGGAGTAAAGCATGAGAAATAAAAAAGAGAATTCAGACAAAGACTATATAAGAGGGGCTTAAATACACATCTGAGAAGGAAAGAAATGAAATCTTAGATCCTAATTAAGTTTTAAAGCCAGAAGAAATGATTTATTATTAGTGAATTGGGATAATGAGTTTAAAAGTGATGTGGAAAAGGAAAGATTTAAAAATATTTTGCTTTTAATTCAGGATAGGCATGTTCATAAAAAGAGGAAGAGGACAGCAGAAAAGATCAAACGTAACTAGCTTACTAAAAATATAAATTTAAAGAAATTTAAATGGACAGGTAAGTTGGAAGATTTATAGAACTATATTAAGGGTAGGGATTTGGTTAAAAAGAAATTAGGAAGTACATGAGGGCTTATGAGAAAATTTTATTTCAATATGTAGCAAAAAAACCAAACATAATTATGCAATGATCACTCCACTTCAATACTTTGCAATCATACCCTCATTCATGGGCACCCGCAGAAAAGGGCAAGAGGGGGGATTTCCCCCCTTACATTTCACAAAAATTGCATGTATTATGATGTAAGCTTAACATTGTAGTTAAACTAAATATTTTTATTCAACTGAAAATTTATGTTTGCTTTAAGCACAAATAACACATATTCTTTTAGTCTGTTGACTTACACTGTAAAAGCTGATCCCCTACATACATGTTTTGCCCCCCCCCCAAAAAAAAAAATATTTCTGTGAGTGGTTGACTTTTTGACAGTTTGGTATAGAAAGCCATCCAGAATCAGTTTGATAAATTTCTGTCACACTACTTGACTCTATACAATCCCAATAAATATGTCTAAAATGCTGTCTCCCATAGTTATTACATCAGTATTCTTATTACTGACAACTTTGAGTTCGTTATGCAATTTCACATTGCTCACATCTCTCTGATCAGGTGGCCTATAACAGTAAGAACTGGATCCTTACATCAGATTATTTATCCCTTTGTTAGAAATTTTTACAAACGTAGTATTTCTGATATGGTACATTACCTCCTGTCACATAAATAGCTGTTCTCATTCAGTGCTGCCCTCTATATCCAAATTTTTTTTTTTTACACATGCCACAAGCCTTTTATCTCCCCTCCATTGGAACTGTCTGATTCCATTGTGTCTCTCATGCAAATCACCTTGCATCAACCCTCCATGAATACGAGTGTGACATACTCTCATGATTCATGTGACTCCCTCTATTGATTTCTACTATAGTATCACTTCTTGTTTGGCAGTACTCGTGTTTAGACATTTTTTCTTTTGGTGCTCTTCGTGTGAATCGCTTTCATGATTTTAATAGTTTAATTTCGGAAGTGGGATTTCATCATTACTTATTTTTCTTTACATTGAAGAAATAATTTACTTTTAACTTAATTTCCCAGTCTTTTTTTTCTCACACTCACATAATTAACATGAATTCTGAAGTAAATGTTTCCACTTTTGGTATTATACCTCTAGCACTATGTGACAGGCTGCTTGGTTATCAGAGCTGTTGTATTTATATGCAGGTTAGCTTTTCCTCCTCCATGGCTATTTGTTGATCGTCCACCTTGTGTCCAACTAAGTCCAACCAATATAGCACTTAGATGATCTGATGTTCAGATCTGCTGCCATCACTCACTTGAATAGCTCTCTGAGTTTCTTCAGGTAGTCTTCCCATCTGACTGTATTGATCAGTGTTGGTGGTTTTGTGCAACATCTTCCTCATCATGCAGCTGAATGTCGCTTCTGAGTTGACTAACCCATATAGCATCCACTTAAACTGATAGCATCCATTTGGTGTCATGAAGCATGCCTTCTCTTTGGATTCTGTCTCCATCAGGATCTGCCAATAACCTTTACTGAGGCCATTCTTGGTAAAAAACATGACCACATCTAGTTTTGCCATGATAACCTCTTTGTTGGCCATAGGTTCAGAGCCAAACTTTGTCACATAGTTCAGCTTCCAGAAATTTATGCAGAAGCAGTTCGTGAAGACATCTGTGTACTGGCACAGTAGATCTTGTAGCTCTTTCTTGTGCTTGTCAGTCAGATTTTCACTAATGTTGACGTCTTTGTATGTCTCATCTCTACCCAGCATTCTTAGGTTCTGCATCTATGACAACTACACTTGCAATGTCCATCTGTGCCTCAATAGCTGCACCCATTAGGTCTTTTTTTTCCTCTCAAAGTACCTCTTCAATAGATTGACATCAAAGATCTTGGTCTTCCCATCCACTTTCACTTTATAGTCTATTATTTTGACCACTTCCAGCTCTTCAAAAGGTCCTTTCCATGTTAGGGTAAGTTAGTTGTTGTCTGTGGGTAGCAGAACTAAGACCTCCTATCCGACCTTGAAATGTCAATCCTTGGACTACTTATCATAGAAGTGCTTCTGAATGCCTTAAGCTACATAAAAACTCTCTTGAGTGAGTTGACAGGTCTTCTCCTGTCCACAGTTCTTTCAATATCTGCATCGGACCTCATACTGTTGTTCCATACAGTTATTCGAAGGGTGAAAATCTTTTACTCGCTTGTGAAGCTCCTTGGCCTGCAGGTACCAATCCCAGTGACGTAGTCTCTCCTGGCATTCTTCTTCAGCATGCTCTTTGAGACTCCATTGATTCTCTCACAAAGTCCATTACATCTGGGATTGTATGGGATGGTAAAGAGCTGCCTAGCACTGATGAGTCTGTAAACCTCTTGCATCAGTTCTGAGGTAAAGTGAGTCCTTCTGTCACTCAATACTTCTTTTGAAAAGCCTACTCTGCAGAACACTTCCAGTAGGGCTTCTACTACTCTCTCCATCTTTATCTTCGGTAACACCATGGCTCTTGGGTAATGTGTTGCATAGTCAATTACTGTTAGCACGTACTGGTTGTCTTTGTCAGATAGAGGTGCTAATTGTCTGATAAAGTCCACAGCTACTTTACTAAATGGCTCTTCTATGAGATGCATTTCACCCAGTGGCACCTTGGCTACCTTCCCACTAGGCAGATGTCATATGGCTTGCAGAATCTAGTCATGTCTTCAATGACCTGAACTAATGGAAGTTGCTGGTGATCCTGTCTGACATATTCTTTACTCCTATGCATACTCCCAGAATCGACTTATGAATCAACTTCATTGCTTAAGTTCAGTATTGTGTTGGTACTATGATCTGTTTAACTTCTACAATAGACCTGCCCTGATAGATCTGGTACAGCACACCAATCTGATTCTCTTTTATCCAAATCCGTTTCCCCCTTGTCTTGTGCTCGACTTTCTCCTGGGCACTGTCCCAAAGTTTCTGCAGTGAAGGGTATTTTTCTGTGCTTCCTTCAGTTCCTGTAGATGTACATTCAGGACTTGCAGGGGCTTGATGTCTTGTTAGCATTTCTTATCTTGAGCTCTTGTGGTGACTGCAGATGTCTCATCAGTCTCCTTTCTATGTGGTTCCTGCAAACTTTTACTGCCTGGTATATTGCCAATCACCAAGTTGTAGATGGGTGCCTTCATATACATAGCCTCTAGGTCCTCCCCATAGTATGTAGTTTCCACCTTTATTTTTGCTGTGGGAAACTTTCTCACTGTCCCATCAATCAGCATACACCTAGATGTACTTTGTCCATCATCTGGTCATCAGATACTAAACTGGTTTATACTGCTGTACCCATTGTCTCATAAGACTTTCATTTTGTTGTCCTCGACATAGCCTTCACCTACTGGCATGTATATGTAGCATATGGCCATAACTTTTATCATAGGTCTTTCTGTGCAGTTAAAATGATACCTAACAATTCTAGTGGTTGAACAGGAGCTTTCTATATTTCTTAGAAGTTCTCACAGTTAACTTATATTACAATCTTTTCATTTGCACATTAGATTGTTTTCCCATTGTTCAAGCTCTCATATCTCTATCCTGACATCATGTTTTGATATTATGTTAGTAATGGTTGTAGTCTAATCTCAGGAGCCATGAGTATTATGTAAACATCCATCCAATTACACGTTTTGATAACTTCCAAAAGCTACCTATAATTGTAGAAAAAAGCCAATGTCAATCTGCTAAAGTGTTTTAAATGTAAGATTTGCTTTGTTATTGTACAGTTTGGCTTTTAACAGGTATAACCTTATCACAGAATATTAATTTCATTTTTCCAGCTGTCACTGGTTCTATTGTTTTTCTTTTTGGGACTTTGTTTCATTATAATAGCGTTAAACAGTGCCATAGCTTTATTTTAAAGTTTTTTTTCCTTATGTTACACCTCCTAAGTACCTACCTCATGCATATATCCCCATTATATTTTCTAACTTCTTTATTCCAGGACTTTTGTTATTTTACCAAAGCTATTGGCAGTAATGGAAATCCTTCATCCAGGGATTTTTATTGCAGTTTTTAACTCTTATATGTTTACTTCAAGGCTTTTATCTCTTATTACCAGCACCCAATAGCCATAGCCTTACCTCAGGGTCTTCCAATCAAGAAGAGCTTATGCGAGCCTATGAATATGCTCGTCGGCACCCACCTCCTTCCTCGAACTATGAACAAGTTCGCGGCCTGAGTCTTGTCAGTGGCACAACTGGTGGATCAGAAGCAACAGATCCAGGAATTCGTCAATTCACTGGGTCTCCTCCTAAACCCAATGAACGACGTCAAGGTGCTTGTTTTGCTCTTGGCATTCCGAGTAAGTATATGTGGGGTTGAATTGTTCAATTCGTGTGTAATTTATAATCTAAATTATTATATAGTTGGTGATGCACTTGTCTGCATTAGAAAATGTAAGTTAAAATATAAAAAAGGAGAAAAGTGTTTTTACATTCTACGATATCATTTCCTTACCATTCTGAAATCTTCAACTACAGTACTTCATCTTAGATACGACTGACCTATCTACCATGATAAAAAAGTTGTATCTGACAAGAAGTTGTTATTCAAAGGATCAATAATCAGATAAAAAATGACTGAGTTTACACTATGGCAGTCACTATTGCCAAGCCTTGAGCATAATTGTTTATATGCTGTATAGATAATCAAATGGTGTAGCAAATTGGTATAATAATAATTATGATGGATAACAATTCAGTAAAGATAACTTAAAATTCTTTTATTTGTTTTATGTTAAACAATTTATTTATTGATCACATTTATTTAGTAAAAAATCACATCTCTATTTCATAAAACATACATGTGTCGCATTTTTATTTCATACCTGTAAAATATGACAAATTGAGACCAAATTTATTTCATAAAAATTCATCCATCTTTATTTGTTTTGCACATTTAACAGAGTCACTTTGAATGTTCATGAGTTTAGCAGATATGATATCAACAAGTATTTTGTTATTCATTTTCAGTGAACAATCTCAAATTTCTTCTAAGTATCTAACTACCATTGCCACAGAGATCACTGGGTTGGGTTCTGGTTCATTATCTTCGCTGCCATCTTTGGTTGTTGGGGTCATAGTTTTCAGTTTTCGTTAATGTGGGTGCCTAGTCTTCATTCAATACTGCAGTGGTACCAGTATTGTCATTACCTGAGAAGAACTTTTCCAAGGATGTCCCTTGCATTAATCGCTCGATGTTGTCTGTGACAATGTCTTCTGATGTATCTGGCAATATCTGGTTTATGAACCCACAGCATGCAAAACACTTCTGAATCATCTCTTGTTGGACTAAGTCTTAGGCATATATTGTGTTGAGTATGTTGACTTGACCAGCAAGATCACTAGCATTCTATGCCTTGTACTTCTTAAGAGAAGTTTCTTGTAATAAGTTGATTTCAGAGTCTTTATGATACCACCATCACATGTTTGTAAGTGTGATGTTTGGTAGCAGGAAAATGAGCTTGACATTTGAAAACTTCATAGGTGGGTGTGCAGAACAGTTATTAATAAACATCACAATTGATCAGTTTTGTAGCCTCATTTTGTTCTTGATTTTCTTCAACAAATTGCTGAAGATGGCTGATGTCATCCAGGCTTTCTTGTTTGGATCATAAATCACTGGTAACAATGATGTCTGAAATCCCCTAAAATACCAAGGATTTGGAGACTGCCCAATGACGAGAGGAGTCAGTTTTCCCCTACTGCACTGCAGCCTAAAAACACTATAATTCTCTCCTTTGAACTTTTTCCACCTTTCCACATGTCACCTTTGATAATTTGAGACCAATTTGGCAAGGTATGGAAAAATAAGTCAGGTTTTTCAGCATTGAAAACGTTTTCTAATGTATAGCCCTCACATATAGATGCAAGTCTGCTGCACCAGTCATCTACTGTTTCCTGATGAACATCAGTGGCTTCTCCAGATAACATGGCTGATGAAATGTTGTGTCATTTTTGGAAGCATTCCAACCACCCATTTGAGGTGGTGAAGTCATCTAGCCCGAATTCAACTGACAACATTAAAGCATTTTCTTGGATAAACATTCCAGAAACAGGAATGTTCTTAGCTCTAGCATCACAGAACCAATCAAACACTAGCTTGTTAAGTTTATGACGTGTGATTCTATTTAATTTTTATTTAATAATGACTTTAGTATCCATTTATAAAATAATGTGCAATAATTCTACATTGGAGAAACTGGAAGAAAATTGGAAACCAGATTCACTGAACATAATAAAAAAACCTTGCTATGTTTACCATCATTGCAACTCAAAAAACCACAATATATCTATACAGAACACTGTAATTTTAAACAAAGAACCAAACCTCAATAAACGCAGGATAAAGGAAGCTATTTTAATTGAACAAAACAGTCCCACCTTAAACCAACACCTCAGATACCTATACTAAAGGTACTAAGATACCTATACTAAGCTGTCAAGCAGTCTCCAGTCATGTGACCTCTTTGTTTTATACTGGATATATATATTCATCTGTCTTTGTAAGCTACTTGTATTTATGGAAGACATAATCTTTTTGGAATGATGAATATTAATAATAAATATACATAAATATATATTAACAATAAATATACATAAATATATATTAATAATAAATATACATAAATATATATTAACAATAAATATACATAAATATATATTAATAATATTTCTACATTACCTTGACAAGCCATCTCCAAACTTTTATTTTTTAGAAAGTAGGTTCCTCATCATCACATTTGAACACAACATGTTTATACATGTTTATTGAAACAAAATTTGCTATAGAGAGGTTGTTATTCTACCTTCTGCCTAAAAATTACAGTCATATGCTGCATCTGTCAGGAAGTTGTTCATGGAAGGTCAGGTCAATGTAAAATAAAAGAAGTTGTGTTTAAAAGGAAGTCATTATTGGGAGGGGTCGCATCTACCAAGGACTACTGCATGTGCAATTTCTTACTTTACCTGCATGTGTTATGAAGAGATCTGTGAAAACTAGGTTGAAATTACTTTTATATGATGATGATAGAATAAAATGTTTGCTTAACTTAGAGTCAACATATATGTTTAAAATAAAACAAAAACCATGTTGTAATATGAATAAAATAGAAATTTTAAGATGTCTATATAATTAGACTAGTTTGTTATAAAAATACACAGATGTTTGTAAAATGACATCACATAAAATGTCAGAAAAACATGCTTTACATGTAAAAGTATAAAAGTTTGCCTCTTTGGACAGTAATTTAAGGCTTTTTGTTTCTCTTTATTTATGAATGTCCATGTTTATTAACAAGTAATTATCTCTAATCTAAACAAGTGTGATGAATTGTTGTACAGGATCTAAACTGAATTGGATGACATAATTGAATGTTAGGCTGAAATTAATCAATTTAGCTTCTAGTAACAATAGTTTAAAGTTCACACTTGACATGTTCTGTTTATTATGTAATCATTAGAATGTACTTAAAGATGAAATATATTTTTAGCTCACTTGTGATTAATTAAAGAAGAACTTACACTGTATATTTACCCTGGAAATGTAATAATTAATATCATAACCTTTTAATTACTCATTTACCAGGGTTTTAAAAACAGCATTGATGGAAGTTAAAAACCTAGCATATGAATTCAAGGTATAAAATCTAAATTGCTTTGTTGGAAAAACACGAAAGCTAAGTTCTGATTATGCTTGCAAAGTTGAAAGACTCTGGAAATGTATGAGTGTTAGACTTTTGTTTTTTTAATTTTCAAAATCCTCTTTTTAACGAGTTGAATTTATGTTCTAAGGCTAAACCTATGTGTGAGATTTGTTCGATTTTCCTCTGATATATGTTCTTAATACTTAAAAATACCTTAATTTTCTTCTTTGTGGATTTCCTCTGGTTATGCAACTTGTTTTTAGATATGTCATGTTTCTGACTACCAACATAGACAAAAACATATCCACAGTTAAACAGTAACACGGCATAACCTGAAATGAAAATTTTTAATGCTTTTGTTACTCACATGGGCCAGATAATATTTCTCCAAGGGTTCTGAAGGAGGTTAAAGATTGGATATGTAAGCCACTTACAACTATCTTTTGTCAGTCCTTGAATAGTGGGCAGGTACCAGAGGATTGGAAATTAGCTAATGTAACTCCTCTTTTCAAGGGAGGTGATAAAAATTGTCCCAGTAATTATAGTTGTGGGAAAAGTTTTGGAAAGTCTGTTAAAATATGCCTTGCAAAGTCATTTAACAAAGTTTAGAATTTTATTGGATAGTCAACATGGTTTTACTGATGGAAAAATCCTGCATTACAAACCTTTTGACATTCTTTGAAAATGTTACTGCTTATGTAGATGAGGGTAATGGTAATGATTTGGTGTATCTAGATTTCCAGAAAGCATTTAACAAGGTGCCACATAAAAGGCTTGTAAAAAAATTATCTCTGTAGATGTGGGGGATAAGTTAGCAAATTAGATAGAAGAGTGGCTGGATGGAAGAATGCAGAAGGTCATTACAAATGGAGTTCAGTCAAACTGGATTAATGTCACAAGTAGGGTATCTCAGGGCTAAGTCTTAGGACTTTTGCTCTTTTTGATTTACATCAATGATACATATGAAGGAATAGTCAATAAGTTACTTAAATTTGCAGATGATATTAAAGTATTGAGTGTACTAGCTGTGAAGAGGATGCTGCTGATTTACATTTAGATCATTTAGTGAGTTGGGCAAATGAATGGCAGATGGGTTTTCAATTATAATAAATGCAAGATAATGCATGTGGGATATCATAATTTGGATTGGAATAACCTTAACAGTGTTATGAAGAAAAGGGATCTTGGTGTAATAGTTTATTAGTCTCTAAAGCCATCCAAGCAATGTGCTGTTGCTAGTGGTAGGGCAAATATGATTTTAGGTTGTATCTACAGAATTTTGATACAAGTCTAAAGAGGTTATAATTTCATTTTATAGACCAACTCGCAATCTGC